TTCCGTTCGCCTCGTCATCATCACGGCTGCCAGTTTGCTGAGAGGTTTGACAACATTTTCTCTTTGTAATTTTATCATTTAATTGCCAGGTTTTGGCACAGAAACAAGGCAGATGCATTTGTCAGCTAACAACACAGGGTTGTACAATGAGATGCTTCATGCTGCTCACAAAGAGCAAACGTTATATACAAAAATTATAAGATGATATAAAGAAATACTAATCTGCATGGTGCAGTGCTGAGGATGAATTTAAAACTGGCTGAATAAAAAGACTTCAGGACATGAACTGACTGAGCCTCAGGCCCCGTTGTTTCCTCCTTCATATGTAAATCTCTTTATGAAGTTTTCTGATGGACAGATAGCTTTACTTGTTGCTAACGCTACAGTAACCGCTAGCTGCTGCTAACAGTTACCAGCTGGCTCTGAACCAGCGGTCCAAAGCTTCTGTGCTGATGTTAGAGGTGGAAACACCAACACCCCCCAGAGCGCCGAGCTTCCAGTCCGCGCTGAATCCGCAACAGGACGGCTAGCTGCACGACTAACTGAGTAGCTAGCAGCAGCTGCTGTTAGCAGTAGTTAGCGGCTAAAGTAACTGCTAACATATAATCTCTGGAGGCAGAGCAGCCGGAGGACATCAGAGGCAAAACCAGACGGTATTTTCTCCATCAGTTCTGATCCAGTTTCATTTAAACCAGAGAATAAAGTTTTAAAGTTGTGTTTTTCTACAGTAATCAGTGCGACCATGTCTCGCCTTGATTCGGCACTGTGCGGCTAGGCCCCGCCCCCCTGCTGTGCTCGAGGAAGTTGGTCAATCAGAAGTGGGCTTTCAGGGAGGGGATGGGCCTTAAAGAGACAGGAGCAATATCAATATATCTCTACACCAGCCGTACAAAGAATATCAGCCTGCGTACATCATGTGGTTATTTCCTAATAATGTCTTCATCATCTGACAGTTTGATCTGTGATAAAATGACCACGATATTTGACCTGATTACAGACACCAAGCGTATTGTTAGCCAGTAGTTTAAACATTTATCATCTTTAGTTCCGCAGATCATGACGACTTTGGAGCTGCCAATCATGCCCCGAGTGTTACAGGCCCTCAACTGCCTGAAAAGAGGAGCTGAAACAAACGGACAGGAGGTGAAAAATAATGTGTTTTTAAACATTTTCTAGTCGAAACCCTGAATAAAAAGTATGAAGCTGAGAATGAGGACGGCAGCTTTAAGAGTCTCCCAGGCAGACAGACAGACAGAACCATCTCTAACGTGGCTCCACACTTTTATTTGCAAGATAAATCTTTCTTAAAATAACCTCTGGAGTCTCCTGCGACGCTGCAGCGTGAAGCAGCCTCCTCAGCTTGTCATAAGCCTTTGCTTCATCCCCCCCCCCCCCTCGTATCGCCAGGGACCTAATTCTGCCTGCAGGATGTGAGTGTGTGTTCATGTTCTTCTGTCTCTGTGAGGACCTTTCAGAGAGGTGAGGACCTGGTCTCTGCTGCTTGAGGGTCAAGACCTGGTTTTAGGGTTCGGGGTAGAATCAAGTTTAAGGCTCGTCCTGGAGGTTCTGCATCATGTAAGTGAGAGGATGATGAGGTCCACGATGGGGTGTTTTTAAAAAGTGACTGCTCATTTCCATACATGCATCTTTAGTGCATCACACAGTGCTTGTTGTTGTTGTTGTTGTTGTTGACGCTGTGCCAGGGACACAAACAAAGCCGATCTGCTCAGAGACCTGCAGCTACAGCAAACATGTTTACCAACTGCAGCGTTTTGTCCAATCACCACATTTATAATTAAAACTCATCATCCCAACAAAGAAAAGGTACATTTTTGGGGCTCTAACTGTGAAAAACCTCCCTGAGCTACATGACGTGGAGTTCCTTCGTTACTGAAACGTCTCTGATATGATCGTGTCTCAATTAAAGCAGGACGTGTTGTTGGGGCTCAGCTGGTTTCCTGGTGTCAGATGTGAATAATGGTGATTGCTGCAGAGCAGAGTGGGCTGACGGAGGGAGAGCGACGTGTCCGGCATACCAAACGCTCAGACTTACACTTTCAATGCTACATCAAAGACGGGAAAAGATTCAGGCTGCTCCTGACGAGTAAAACTCCTACACAGCAGAACGCTTCACGGCTCTGTGAAGACACATTTTAACCTCAAAACTGTAATTGTGCTGCAGCTGTTGTGTTTGATCTCCAAGGATAAAATCGTTAATTGGAGGTATAGTTGAAACAGTTTTTAATCTCTGAGTGTGCTGTCAATTTTCGTGGTGCGTTCGGGGAGAGTCGGTACGAATGAAACGCAGGATGAAAGTACCAACAAGCCTTCGCAAGTATGATATGCTAAACTACATCAGCACGTACAGAACGCAGCGCTTCAACGAACCGTGAAATATCAGGTGGACATGTCACACGTTCGTGGAGTTACAGTATCTCTTAAAAGTGAGTCCACCCCTCACATTATTGTAAATATTTGATTTATATCTGAAGAAATGACCCTTTGCTCCAGTGTAAAGTAGTGAGTGTGCAGCTTGTATAACAGTGTTTTTGCTTTTGTGAGATGCTGTATTCAATCACAGAAAGTAAAGCGGGGATTTTGTTTTAATGACAGGTTGTGTTTACTGTTTCATGTGTCGCTGTCCTGATCATGTGACAGATTAGTTAGTACTTTAACTCGTCCCGAGGTTTTTCAGATTCAAAGCAGGAACTTAGGGTCTGAAAGGAAAATCCAAATGTGTGTTCTAAAAATGAAATTTAAAATATTTTTATTAAGATAAAGGACATAATATGTTTGCAGTTAGAGGTTAAGGACAATGTCAGACACTTAAAATAATAACATTTAAAATTCATCCTGTTGTTTCTTCCTAACTAACAATGCGCAGCTAAATTACACCGACGTCGTTCTACATTATCCTGTCTGTTCAATTCAACTTAAAAATAATTTATTTATCTATACTCCGGCCGACTTTCCAGTAACGAAAGATAAAACGCATGGTGTGCATTGATAATGTGAAGCGCTGCGGTGGAGAAACTGCTGCCTCTCCGCCTTCTAACTCATCCACAGGTCCTCCATCTACTTAAGGGCATCAAGGAGGAGCAGGTCAACAAAAAAAGTAAAATTTAATAAATGACAATGTCAAAAGTAACCTCAAAACATCCCTTTCCTTATTTAAATAAACAAACTCTCAGTATGGCTGCATCATTATATATTAAAACAGCACCTGGAATTGAAACGCACGTTTGAGTTCTGATGCAATCTTAAAATTTAATTTAAAGTTTTCATTATTATATTCCACTATCTTATATTGTATGTGGGGTTCATCAATAGTGATAAATTATTTGAAGTATATATTTTATGACTGGTTGGAATCGTCAGTATTTTATTACGTATAGTAGAAATAGCATTTCAGCAAATATGTGGTGATCAGTGAGCACAGCAAAGTGTCTGAAAAGGACTTTAAGAGGTGGATGCATGATTCGGCAGAGCAGATGATGGAGGCCACCTGCAGAGATTTGCGTGCACCTCTTCTCTCAGCATAAATGAGCGTTACCATGCGCTGCAGGCGTGCAGAACACCGGCTCTCCCCGAACGACATGTTTCCCTTCTTTCAACCTGCGGTGCTGGTAATGAACACATCGAGCGGTGCGGTTTGTATTTCACTCGGAAGGTGGAAGCTAATCAACTTAGCTTGTTGCACCGATTCCCACCAGACGCTGCTCCCCCAGCTGCCCCACCCATGTTTTCCAGGCTGCTCTAAGTGCAGTAAAGCAGATGGAACATCCATGTATTCTGCATTCATGGAACAATATTCTTCTTCTGTTGAGTTCAAACGAAGCCTCGTTATAACGTAAATTATTACTAAGTTGTGATTTATGCATCACTAAAATAACTGGACGTAACAACTAAACATGGACACAAACCCCCAGGAAGCGTCACATTATTAAACTCACTAACAGTGACACTTTTTGCACCACAGTAATCCAGCAGAGCTTTTATTTATTAATCCAGTATTTCAGTATTAATCTGCCAAGTGGCTCAAGCCTGCCTGAAAGCTAATGATCGTTGATCGGTCTCCTGCCTTAGTTATGCTGTATGTGAGGTTCTGACCCGAGTAATCGCCGCATGTCCAGTTTTAGTAGCTGATGTGGTTAAACACTAAGTCGTAGTAACTGTCAGGAGAACTTAGACAGCTGGTCCACCAGAGACCATCCGGGTTAATCGGTCCATCCCTCCTCTGCAGTGATCCTGCTGTGGGTCGCTACAGCATTAGGCGAGAGGCAGGGCAAACCTTTAACCCCTGCATGTATCACCGCCACATCTGAGTCAAAGCGTTCAGTCCCCCCCGAAATAAAAACCCACCGGTCTCTGAAACAACACGTTCTGCTGCTCTGACTTTCTGGAGCTGCTGCACATCAAAGAAAAACCTCTTCGCCTTCTGCATTTAAATACGTTAGAGGCTCTAGAGCTGTTGCGATTCATCCTTCGGATCGGAATTAGGCCACTTTATGGGCGACCCGGCCCGACCTCTGCTGCAGTAATGATGGACACTCGCAGCTGGATCGTGGCCTGTCAGACAGAACTGAGGGATTTGTTGTGCTGTCAGGCTGCTGCTCTGATGTTTTCCATGTGGCTTCGACAGCTCGGCTCAGCGGCCGGGCGGGAACCACTAATGATCGGGAGGTGTGTGGGGGGGGGGGACTTTTACTGTATTTGTGGGGTCAAAAACCAGGAGTCCACTATACTTCTGGGGTCCACCAGCCTTGTAGGGACCAAAACGCTGGAATCCATAAGTTTAAGGGGCTGTTTGAGGGTTAGGACTTGGGTTCAGGGTTAGGGAATACGTTACGTCAGTGAAGATAGTGAGGCTGTGTGCGTTTTGTTTGAAGCTGGGAAACTGAACTTGGATCTTAGCGTTGAAATCTTTCAGCTCTTGACTCCCCAGGATGTTTTTCTGACTCGTCATCACTTTAACTTTCCCTGTTTCCATCCATCCACAGGTGGACTGCGATCGCGGCTCTGACTGGATGAACCCGTCTGTTGGCCCGTCCATCGATCGGCCCCCCGTCAGCCAGAGGAAGGATCTGATGAGCGGCCTGCCGAGGGAGGAGCGAAGAGACGACCTGCTATGGCCGGAGGTAGGAAACCGAACCCGCTCCTCGGTACAGCTCACTGCTCGTCGTGTTCGTCTCTGATGTGCGTTTGCTCGTTTCCCGTCCAGCAGCTGATGGCGTAGGCGGTCCGGGTGCTGAGCAGAACCACCTGAGCGTCCCCGTCAGCGGTCCTGGAGCCTGGGCCACGGCCATGAACAACCTGGGCATCATGCCTGTGGGCATCAGCGGACAGCAGCTGGTCTCAGGTACCCTCCTCAATCAGTCTCTAACTGTTGAGAGAAAACTACGGAGGCCCCGAGGTCTCAAATTCACTTAAAGATGGACTCCAGGTGTCAGGTAGTTGTACTGCAGGTGTTTTGAAGTAGCGTAACACCTTTAGTGTCTCAAAGGGAGCTGTGTGAAGTCTGATAAATGAGGGTGAGGGATGAAGCGTGTGTGCGGCAGCCCGGCTGCAGAGGCTGAATCAGACCTCATGCATATTTATAAGAAGCGGAGAAAAGATTCTGTCTCAGAGTTTCAGCTTTTGACGTGATAGATTAATTCCTGGAAAGACACACTTAACAGCTTGTGTGTGTGGCTTCGGGGACACATTTCAGACCGGTTGATTGGGGGACGGCTCGTCCAATCAGACTAAAGACGTGTCCCCAATTGGGAAAAGGCTGATTTTAGTTAGGGTTACGCAACTAAGACCGTTCTAGCAGTAGCAATGGTCCTAGTGGCAGGAAAATGGTATTCTGCTCAGGCCTGCATGGCTGTCCTCGCTGCACGGTCTCGCTTTGTCATTTGGACAAAAACTACACTAAGCTCTGCCTGTTCACTTTTCATTTCCCGTTTCACCTTGGAATCTATTTGTGGAATTGTTTTTGTGAGACGTGGGGGATTTATCGGAGCTTCCTGCTTGTGTCTCTTTCTAGTATATAAAGGCCCGGGGGTTTGTCTTTGTACGTGTGAGTGCTGCATTGTGGGGGTTTATTAAATGAGCATGCGGGGAGATTTGTTGAGCAGGAGGTTTTATTTTGTGTGTGTGTGTGTGTGTGGGTGTGTGTTAAGCCCAGAATAATTGAATGCACGGATTTAACTGAAGCGAGGAGAGAGAGGCGCTGTGAGGAGGGACGGACGGCGACCTCGTTCATCTGTCGACATATTAAAATGATGATCGGCGCAGCGATGATGTGATGCTGATCAGACTCCACCCTTGGCAGCGACTGCAGCTCTCCTCCCTCTTTGAACTGGGAACATGTAGAAGAGAAACAACAGACTCTGGTGTGTGTTTGTGTTACAGGGTCAGCTCGCCCAAACCACAAAAACATGTTTGTTTTTACAGCCAAAGCTGTTAAATATGAGGTCCAGTGGTGGAGAGTTTTAGTTTACAAACGGAGAATTAAAACGAATACGATCTCCGTCCACAGCAGCGTTTTAGCTCTCCGTCTACATTAAAACGACTGAAAACGCACATCTAGTGACCGTTCTGGTACCCTGGGCACACGCCGGTTCGTTTTCACCATTTTAGTCTGGACAGGAGGAGCAAACGTAGCAAAAGGTCTCCGTTTTCATTTGAAAACGTAGTAGTGTGGAACATTAACTAAAATACTTAAAGGGTAACGTCGGTATCTGATCAGTAATTTTACCTTGCAGCCCTGCAGACTGCAGCGCGCTCACTCGCTACACAAATGTGTACAGAAGCATTACTTTAATAAAACTCTACAGAAAGACACTATTTCCCGTGTTTATGTGACTAACTGGAACAAAAGAGTGAGACCCTTTGTAACAGTCGCTACATTGCTTTTCGTCACCAGACTCCATTGATAAAAACAGTCATTTTACCTGACAGAACGTGGGAGTTGCTGGTCTGCCGCTACCTCGCTCGGTTAGCTTGTGTGTGTTGTTTTGTGACTTTGTTGTGTCTGTTTGTTTGTGTTACTGTGTGTGTTTTACAGGGTTAAAAACACCAAAGTCAGACACAATAACAAACTACGGTAGACCAGAGAAGTAAAATTACTGTTTTTGTCAGTGGAGTCTGGTGGTTTTAGTGAGAGCGATATACAGAGTCTGTTCCTGGTTAAACAAAAAGGATCTCACTATTTAACAAAAAGGTCTCTCTCTGCAGGGATCCTTTCCATTATGATAACAGACACTTATAATAACAAGATGAGCCTGTGAGCGGCAAAAACAAGCTCTTTAGTAAATGTACTTTGACAAGGCGCAAGGACGAATAATTACATGGGAAAATACGGTCCAGGTGTAAAAATACCAAAGTTAAGCACACTTTTGAGATACTTGTGCTTTATTTGAGCATTTATATTTCATGCTCCTTTCTACTGCTTCTTCTTTGTACTTTTTACTCCACTACGTTTATGTTAATTTGTTTAAAAAACACACATTTATATGATACGATGATGTGAGAGGAGCCCTTCTGCAGAATGAGTACTTTTACTTTTGATACTTTGAAGTACATTTCACTGATAATATTTCTGTATTTTAACGTTAGTAACATTTTGACTCCAGGAGTATTTTTAGTTTTTGGTATTTCTACTTAAGTAAAGGATCAGGGTACTTGTTCCACCGCTGGGTTCAGGGTTGGATTGTGATTCAGGACCAGTTTGAACTGTATTTCTGGGTGTGTCTCACCTTGAGGGTAATCACAGCCACATGTCTTTCAGCTCTTGTGTCTCAGTGATTCTGGTGGAAAACACAAGATAACCCTAATTAAAGGCATAGATGCTGCTCGTCTTTGTCAGCCTCCCTCTCTCGCCGTCTTGGCTGTGGTTTCCATTCTTCTCCTCCCTGAGAGGGTTTCCTCTTCCTCTCTCTCTGGCAGCGGCAGCCGAGCTCGGAGCCAGAGAAGCGAACCTGGCTCCAGTCACTTTGGCTCTGGGAAAAAAAGCTGCGAGCAAAAGCAGCCGTGTATGATTATGATGAATGTGTGGCACCGCGATGTGTAATTTACCTGTCGGGGGTTATCGCAGACAGCGCTTTAATGAGTTTTCCTGAAGAATCTCTGAATGCAGCGAGGCCGCACATGCTCAGATTTATGGTAGATTATCTCTGCAAGTGTTTTTTATAAACCTGATGATCTCTAACAAAGAGGGTGTGGAGCTTTTTTCTTTTGGCCAAACAAAACTCTGCTCAAAGAATATCTTGGAAACATGTATTCATGGAGCTTGTGTATGTATCTAAAGAAGATAAGAAAGGCAATTTTATTGTGCATTAAATTTACAGAGCAAAAATGATTTCTTGTACCCATTTTTCCTGGCGAGTGAGACCTGGAGTCTCCTGCCAGATGGCAACTGCTGGATTCATGAGTGAAGGCGGTGGGTGGGGTCATTGTAGACCTGGTTTGCCTTTTTATTTTGTTATATACCGACATTAAGTTCTGGAGTTGCAATTGTTTTTCTCCAATGATCTTGCTGGCCTGGGGTCTAACTGAGAGGTTCCCACCCAGGAGGTCAGGGTGTGTTTGCTGCGTTGAAGCTCCTAAGTTTCCTCCACTTCCTGCCCTTTCATGATAACTGACTTGAAAACTGTGCTGCCTGCTCTGATCTTACCTCCCAGACACACATCGTCTTTGTTTTACTAACATTAAGATCAAGGAAGCTGCCGTCAAACCAGGTGGCAAGAAGCTCGATGTGACGAGAGCAGGAAGGGCTGCTGACATCCTGCAGGCAGGCAACCAGGGCCATGTCATCAGCATACACAAACACTAAAAGTTGACGATACTATAATCAGACTGTAATCAGCCTCGCAGCGTGGTTGGTCACCTAGTATAACCCGGGCCATAATCTCTGAGCCTGTAGGCAGATCTGAAACACTAGGTTGATTATTACACCATCTATAAGAGTGCTGCAACCATTAGTCGGAGTAATCGACGACGTTGACTATAACAATTTGTCAACGCATCGTTACATAGATACCGTTTAAGGGAGACATAGCAATCTTCATATTGGGAACATTTCTGGTTGTTTATTTCTAACTGCAGTGCACTACAGGAAGTGATGGTGGCAGTGTTGCTTCCACTGCCTGCCATGACTGCTCGACTGTAAGACTAATCACGAAGAAGAAGCATTCATGGGAGAAGCGGAAAGTAACGGAGAAAGAGGCGACCAGCAGAACGGCTTTTCACTAAATACACTTTTGAGTCGAGAAATTAACTGTTTAGAATTTTAATATTGGCAGTTTTACGAAAATGTGCTTAAACGTTTTCAGGTTGAGAAGCTCCACAAGCGCCCGCGAGGTTAGCGGTGCCAGTCACCATTATTTATTTTATTTTACTAGGCCTATTTAAATTGTATTTGATTGCAGATCAGCGCCGTAGCGTCTCGCAGCACAAATCTGTCCAACACAACGCTGGCAATGTCGGAGACCCAGCTTTAATAAAGTTATTAATAATGAGTAATGGTTTAAAGAACATCAAGGAACATCTGGTTCGTGATGTCGCCTACAGAACATTCTGCACTTATAAAATCTATAAGCACTTTTGAAAAATAAACTACAGCAGTATGAAAGCTGCCTGTTGCTTTATTGTTCTAAACAGACATTGTTAGTGTAAAGTTGTGGTTACAGTACTTGCTTTTAATTTGCTTTTATTTTATATAGTGATAGTTTATATAGTGAACAAAAATCTTTGTTGAACAGTTACAAGTTTTAAAGTTAGTATAAATCAGTGAATTATAGGAGGAGCCTATGCTGTCTTGTCTTCTTCCCTGGTTTCCCCCTGGCGTTGATACTGGTGTTCATTCTGAATAGTAAACCTCGTTCACTTAACGGGAACGTAAGCTCGTTAGGCTGCGTGTTGGAGATCAGTGATTCACTTGAAAGATATTTAATTAGTTAAATGGTTTAATTAGGGTTAGGGGTTGACAAAAATAATCGTGACTAGTCGACTAATCGAATAAATAATTTACAGATTAGTCGACTACAAAAATAGTCATTAGTTGCAGCCCCAGCCTATTACGACCATGTTTACTTTTTGGCCGTACGGCGGTAGCAGAACGTATTCTAAATTGCGACAAACTCCACATAAGGAGGCCGGATGGGGTGGTGGATGGTCAAACCCAGGACTTTCACAAAGGAGAACGGCATTCAAGTCCCATGTGAAACCACGGTAATGTTGAGTTATTTTAGTTTTTAGTTTTAAACTGAGTTAGAAAGCATTATCGCACTTTACCTACTTGGTGACAATCTTTTGCTAAATCTAACAAAGTAGTTCTGTACCAAAACCTAACCAAACTACAACCCTGTTTTAGTTTTCCCCTCGTTAAATGCCTCGCGATTTACATAACATCCACTAAGCTTGTCGCTGTAAAAATACTCACGTGTCGTTGGACTTTCCAACGCCCATGTTGTTTTGGACATTTGACAGTCGACCTATTTTGTAGTTTAGGGATGGTTTAGTTGCACATTTAGCTCAGTGGGTAGAGTGCGGGACTCCCGTTGGAGGAGTTGTGTGATCGATCCCAAAATCCAGGGGACTTTTTTTTTCTCCCTTGTCAAACAAATTGATTAGCCTATAGGAACACTTTTTCACATGCTCGCAATAAAGCGTGTGCGTCCCTGAGGAAATTCAGGGGAAACCAATCACACCTTTTACTGACGGCTTTGTCAAGTAAGTGAGAGACTCTTTCGAATGTCCTTAAGAATTTTTCAAAGTAAAAGCTTTCAATTAACTCAACATGACGCATTGCTGCAAAAAATGTTTTATTTTGGAGGCACAGTCACTTAAGACGAAGTGATTGCATGAGATCTTTTTCAGCACCAGCCGCTATCAAGTTTTTTATTTTTCTGCTATCAAAGCAATCTAGCCGCCTATTGCCCACGACCGTCGCACCCTGTTGAGAGATGGTCTTTCTATACTGGTGTCATCCTCTTTCGAACCATCTGTCCTCCGTGTCCAAAATATGCACATGCATATTCTTCCACTTCTGCAGAATAACATAAAGCTGTTAACTTGATACGCGTAAATCTCTGAAATCTTTATTATTTCTCTGTTTTCTGACCTAAACAGTGGGAAAAAATGAACCACATTTCTACAGTAAACACCTTGGAACAACCTGTTAATACACCCTGAGAAGCTTTATTTGTACTACATTTTCTATATATTATATATAATATTAATGAAGGCAGACGGAGCAGCTGGTCATCGGTTGATGCTACAGTGAAATAATGAACAAAACTCCTTCATTTAATTGTTAATTTTAGATCTGAAAATCTCTGTTTTGGTGACGTAAACGTTGTTTTAACTTTTGCTGCTTAAATTTAAATACAAACTACAAACATGGCGGTCGTTATAAAACTTTTGACCCGTAGTGTTGAGTGTCTGAAGCACTAACGAACCAGGCGGTATCATCACCTTGATAACGACCTGGGACTCCCTGCCAGTCCAGTTGCCCTTGATTTGAACCTTCCTTGGATGACCTGGATGTACAATGTAGGTCCTCTGAAGCTCAGCCTCTTCTTCTTCTTTTTCTCTTTATTCTAAACACAGTGTGACTGTAAAGCGTCTCACTTCCTGCGTGCAGATGATTGCTTCAGGTGAAGCCTTGCTGTTTGCCGACTGTTCAGACCAGCAGGAGGAAAAGCTTTCACCCTGAATCAATGGTGCGGTCTATCAGTCCTCCACGCCGAGCGGCAACAAAAGCATTTATTTCTGTTACATTACTGTAAGGGACGTTTGTCCTTTCCGCGTGTGACAGCTTCCCTCGCCTGTAATTTGAATCACTTTATCTTCCCATGTGGGCGGCGGGGTTTCTGCTGACGCGTTGTTCCTCCCGCCGCCTTGTTATTGCAGAAGATATGAACGTGCGACGCTGCACCGCCCTCCTCCACCCTGCAGACAGCTGAAACATTGTTCCTGTCGCCTCCGTCCTCTCGCTGTTTATCTTCCTCACTTTCTGTTTGTCCTGGAGACGTTTTCTCCTCCTCACCAAGCTTCTCTTTTCTCCTCTGCCTTCCATTATCACACTCACAGCACTGTTTTACTCTTTTTCCCGTCCCCGTTTCTCTTTCTCTTATCAGTTTTCTTCCAGATTGTGATGCTTTATTTCTTTCAGTTGTGCGGTTTTCCTTTTTCCTTTTCTTGGCTTGACTGGCATTAGAAAGCAGCCTGCGAATTTTCTGTCAACAATTTGATCCAGCAAATTAAAATGACCACAACATGTCGATCAACATATCATTGATTAAAAAATATTAACATGTTAATTTGTTTTGTTTGTGCGAGGCTAATACGCTTTTCTTCCCATGTTTGTGTGTAATGATCACCTGACACCTAATGTGGCTAAGATAAAGTAACAGTAACAAGCTTCTTCTAAGCTGCTTTTAATTTAAGATTTTAGTCTGTATATATACACAGTATAGTTTATATTGAACCAACCACAGTAGCAAAAGAGGAAAACCTCCTCTAAACAGAGTGTTTGGAAACGTTGTTATTTGGATAAAGTTACTGTAAAATGATTATTATTCGGATTATTGTTTATTTTAATGATTCTTCCTTTGAAAAATTCTACTACTTGTTAAGTAAGAGATATAATCTATGTAACATATTTTGTGTTTTGAGTTTGTTCTTTAGTTTTTATAATGTCGCTGTTTTTAGTTTATGTGTGAATTTGTGCTCTGGCAGCATTGCAACCTAAACGTTCAGGCCAGAAAGAGAGAGAGAAGCTTTGGCAACAATGTTCTGTTAACATTAATGCCAGTAAAGCGAATTTAAATTTGAGAGAAACAGGTTTCTGCCTCTACATATCAAAGTTTCCTCCTCACTAGAGGAAGAGCTGTCCAGGCTGGACGCTGATCCTTCTCACGGGGTGTTACAACACCGATCACAATAGAACGTAAACTCAATCGCGCGTCTTCATTCACCTGCAGCAAATGATCGGTACGTGATGTCAGTCAGTGGCGTCACTCACTGATCCTTGTTTTATTTCAGACCTGAGCTTCAGAAATGCTTGGGAAAATGTAGCGTGTGTGGAAGCTACCGCGCTGCTCGGCCAATAAAAGAGCTTCGCCACTGAGAAACGTAGTTAAACTAGTAACGGCGCTACTTGTAGCAACGCTACTGCCCAACATTGGGTACAAGTACCTTACAGTTGTACTTAAGTGCAGGGTAAATATACTGAGTAATAGTACTCTGTGTGGGTAATCACTGTCACTTGTAAATTTACATTTGTATTTTATTGTCACAAGCGTGGATGTTGATCTGTATTTCAAACGTGTGTAATTTAGCCTCAGTGTCCAGTTTATTATCATGTGCCACATATGGTCGCATGGCCAAGACCCCTTGGCGTTATTTTTTTATGCATTGGGAAGCCATGTAGTGTCATTTATAAACACAAAAACTACGTGTAGTATATAAACAACAGAAAAGTCCAAGTAAGGAGGATTGTTTTTAGTTGTAAGTAACGTAGTTATTTAAACCCAAAACACGATGTTTCCCTAAACCTAACCAAACTTCAACATTAACCACTAGTTTAATTTTGAAAGCCTAACTAAACTTGGCATATTTATCCTTGTTAACTAGACTGCCAAGCTCTACACGTGCAATGACAACGCTTAAGGGGTCCCGACCAAGCGTCCGAATGTGACGAGTTGGGATAAGATTGTGTTGGTTCAGCTGTGGTGGATGTAGTTCTTACCCGGACTGCATTATTCTGCCAGGTGTTTCTATGATTTATCTCACGAGGGCTTCACCGTGTTCCCTGTTGTGTCGTTGTGTCCTGCAGACTCTCTGTGCATCCAGAGGTTCGACCCCGGGCTGGGCCTCATCGCACCCATAAACCCCATGATGGCGGGCATCGGCCTGGTCCCTCCCCCGCCCGTACCCCCCGACATGCCCGTCATCAAGGAGATCATCCACTGCAAGAGCTGCACTCTGTTCCCCCAGAACCCCAGTAAGAACCTCACTCTGCGTTTCATACACAGAGATCAGATGTACATTTCAGACACGAGGTTCTTTATATGAAGAAAGATTTAACCGTTTACTCTTGACAGCAACAATTATGATGATGAAGATATTGTTGTTCTTCAGACCTGCCCCCTCCATCGACACGGGAACGCCCCCCCGGCTGTAAGACGGTGTTTGTCGGTGGCTTGCCGGAGAACGCCACGGAGGAAATCATCAGGGAGGTGTTCGACCAGTGCGGGGAGATCATCGCCATTCGCAAGAGCAAGAAGAACTTCTGCCACATCCGCTTCAGCGAGGAGTTCATGGTGGACAAGGCCATTTACCTGTCAGGTGAGCCGTCACACGCAGCCATCTGTTGGAAGGTACCTGGTTCTCTGAGTGTCTGTAAATGCACTGACCGACTCAGTGTCAAGTTGCTGCTGGTTACGTTCCTACGTCGTCGCTGTTTCCTCTCCTCCCAGGGTATCGGATGCGTATCGGATCCAGCACTGACAAGAAGGACTCTGGGAGGATCCACGTGGACTTCGCCCAGGCCAGAGACGACCTGTACGAATGGGAGTGTAAACAGCGCTTACTGGCCAGAGAGGAAAGACACCGCCGCAAGGTCCACGAAAACCTGCTGCGGCCGCCGTCTCCTCCCCCCGTCGTGCACTACTCTGAACACGAGGCGGCGCTGTTAGCAGAGAGACTGAAAGGTGAGAAGACAGTTTTCATTTGCAGAGGAACAGCAGGCTGTAACACGCTTCAGGGGGCTGTTGCTGACAAATCTAGTCGTGGACACAACTATTGGTCGAAAGTTACGGGTTTTTGAAAGACCGGCGGCTGATATTTAGAGAGCAGGGCGGCCGACGGCTTTAACACCGACATCAAAACAAAGAAAAGTCCCGTATAATCCCATTATTCCTGCAGGGTCCAGTCCAATCTACATGTTATCTCAGGCAGTAACATGTTGTTTCAGATGGAAGTGAAGTGGGTGTAGAGCAGTTGTAGAACTGTAGAAACATGGCGACTTCCATGTAAGAGGACCCATTAGCTGCACCAGTTTATGGTGGAAATGTTTTTATTTATGTAAAGGAAAACAGAAAATTGAGGCTGCAGGTGACAATTCAAACTCTAAACCTGTAAGTCAGAGCAGCTCTCAGATCTCCTGTAGATCAGCTTATTTAATATCTGCTGAGTCCTGGTTCAGCCTTCCCTCCTCTCTGTGTCTCTGTTTGGGGAAGTGACCTCTTTAAACGTGACTGTGGCTCCTTTTCACCTCCATGAGAAATTAATTCATTTTAATTCAGTTAGAAACTCCTGGATTTTAACAGCTCCTGTGTTTCAGCAGCTTTTCTGCTCGTGTTCAAAACTTCCTGCACGTTCAGAGTCTCTCCCACAGATCTGGGTTCTCTGGCAGGTGCAGAATATTATGAGACAAATGTCATCATTTAATGAGAATTCAGAATAGTTTTTAAAGTCTACCTGCCCTTTACTCTGCTGTGCATTACGTTATTGCTCTGCTGATGAGGTAGTTTCCCCTTGACCGTTTGGGACTGCATGATTGGATGAGACACTTGTGATCAGGCACAAATCCACACGTTGCCTTCGGCAGCTCTGATAACGTGATGAGTAATATCATCACTGTTTAATCTGGTTAGATCGCTCTCGTCACTGCCCTACCGCAGACACTTTCTGATTATCGGCCTCGTGAACGCAGCTATCGACCGATAATCTCAAAACGCTTGATATCGGCCTGATTGATCGGTCTATAGCTACATGATGATGAAATAAAAAGACAGTCACTGTAATCAAACATGTTAATCTGAAATCATGGGCAGCCTCTTAGAGTGTGTGTCTGCTGATCACCTGCTGGGAATCCCAATATCAGGTTCAAGCGAATCATTCAGGAACCTGCACAATTATTGATCTTCTTCATCTCGCTTTGATCACAAACAGCTGTTTGTGATCAACAGTGTGAAGCAGTCAAACACCGGAGAGCTGCAGCGTGACGTCCTGGCGCTGATTTCACAGACTGTTGTCGTCGTTGTTGGACAGCAGCTTTCTGTGTGGGTTTGTATAAAACGGCTGAACAAAAACAGAAGTCGCAGCCTCAGTGCTAATGAGCAGTGATGTGGGAGGAGTTATTTCTGCTGTCCAACGTTTATGTCAGCCATTTTCTACATCGACGATGTGGGGGGTGCACTTATTTTGTTGTTAAAATCTTGGCGTGTAGCTGATGCTTTACAGTTGTTACACCAATATTAGATTTCCTGCAGAAACAAGCAGTGAACACAACATGAACATCTCTTCACTTGTTAAGTCGACGTGTTGAACTGGTGACCAAACGCTCCACTGTGTTCACCAGCTGCTCTCTGACGGCGGCTTTTCACTGCTTCTTCTCTGGAAACGACGCTCTGAAAGTGAACCAGAAGAGAAAGCTGCTGCCGGATAAACAAGCAGCTGAGGGTCACTGACCCTGACAGACAGAAATCTGTCTATTAACATAACTAAAGGTTTTCATAAAGATGAGATGAGACAACATGCTGATGTTTAGCAGGTGCACCATGTCCATCAGAGCAGTTTAAACTAAAGTTTTATTTAAGTGCAAAATCAAAGACATGGTCCCAATTACAGCCCGACCGATATGGGATTTTAAAGTCCGATACTGAATTCGATATTTGAGATTTTTAAAATCCGATAGCAGATATATCGGCCGATATTGTTTTTTCCCTTTATTTTAAGAAACGCACGACATAAACAAAGATTTTCCCTAAAATGTTGTTATGTTGAGACCTCAACAAGATACCCTGACATAATGCAGTATAAAAATACACTTTTTTATTCTTATAAATAGTACTTTGAACTAAAGCACAACAAAATATATCAAGGTTTTGATGAATAACAGGCAAATACATTATGTTTTTTTTTTAAATATCTGAGTTGTTTGAATTATGGAGTACTACCACGAATAAATGAAGTAAATAGTGTATTGTGGAGGCCAGGAAAACAAACTATAAAATTACCCATATACTACTACCTCTATTAATGCTATGAATAATACCATATATCATATCTAATGTCATTGCTATAATAATAATGATAAACCGGGCGTGTGTGTGTGTGTGTGTGTGTGTGTGTGTGTGTGTATATGTGTATATATATATATATATATATATATGTATATATATATATACATATATATATATATATATGTATATATATATATATATATATATATATGTCATGCATTAGTTATTACCTTACATATAATCTGCCACAATGACATACAGTGACCCAGAGGAAACGCTGCTGTTTAATTAATCTAATAAATATATCTGCAAGTAGCTTATATCGACGGATAATATCTGCACAACGATAAATCGGTCGGGCTCTAGTCCCAATACACTTTACAAAATGCACTGAAATGAAATAGAATAAACCATAAAATACAGAATTCATGTAATAAAACACAAGATAAAATACAATCAGAATAAGATCAACAAAATAAAATGATAAAACAATTTAATAATTTAAAGTTTGCTTTAACACATTAGCACGCTAGTTTATTAGCAGTGAACACAGCTGAGAGAACATCAGTAGTTCTGCAGGTATTTGGTCATAAAACAAAGTTTTGGACACATTACCATGTAGTGTTGGGCAAATTACTTCCAAAATATAGTAATAATTATAGATTACTAGTTACTGTTATTTGAGAGTAATTGGATATATTACTGCCTCTGAATTATGAAGCTTTGCACTACTTTAGAGTTACTGCTGTTTAATGGGCACATTGTTCAGATGTTCCTGCATAGGTGGGTTCTAGTGATCGCAGTTACAGTTCCCTCCAACAGTATTGGAACAGTAAGGCAAATTCCTTTGTTTTTGTTGTTCACTGAAGACATTTGGGTTTAAGATCAAAAGATGAGACAAGAGTTCAGAAAGTCAGCTTTTATTTCCTGCTATTCACATCTAGATGTGTTAAACTCAGAACATACCACCGTTTGTATCAGACCACAGCATTCTGAGGTGAGCAAAAGTAAAGGAACAAATACTCTTAAAGTAAATAACATTTTATATTTGCTTACTATAACTGCCTCAAGCCTGCGACCCATCGACATCACCAAACTGCTGCATTCTTCATTTGTGATGCTATTCCAGCCTTTTACTGCAGCTTCCTTCACTTCTTGTTTGTTTCGGGGCGTTTCTCCCTCCAGTCTCCTCTTAAGGAGGTGAAATGCAGCTCTGTTGGGTTTAGGTCAGCTGATTGACTTGGCCAGTCTAAAACCTTTTCCCCCTGATGAAGTCCTTTGTTTTGTTGGCAGTGTGCTTTGGCTCATTGTCCTGCTGCATGATAAACTTCCTCCCCATTAGTTTCAATGCGTAAACTGGCAAAATGTTTCTGTCCACTTCTGAATTCATTCTGCTGCGACATCATCAATAAATATTAATGAGCCTGTTCCAGAAGCAGCCATGACATCACCTCCACCATGCTTCACAGATGAGCTCGTACGCTTCGGATCATCATCAGTTCCTTTCTTTCTCCACTCTTTGCTAGAGATTAATCTTGGTCTCATCAGTCCATCAGATTGTGTTCCAGAACTTTTGCAGCTCATCTCTGTACTTTGTAAATTTCACTCTGGCCTTCCGATGATTCTTGCTGCTGATGAGTGGTTTGCATCTTGTGGTGTGGCCTCTATATTTCTGCTCTCTGAGTCTTCTTCCAACAGTGGATTGTGATACCTTCACCCTGCACTGTGGAGGTCGTTGCTGATGTTTTGGGGTTTTTCTTCACAGCTCTCACCATATTTCTGTCATCAACTACTGTTCTTTTCCTTGGCCGACCTGTTGGACGTCTGTTGCTCAGTACACCAGTAGTTTGTCTTTTTCAGGACCTTCCAAATTGTTGTGCCCAGTGTTTGTCCAATGGCTCTGCTCGATTTTCCTTCTTTTCTTAGCTTGACAGCGGCTTGCTTTCTCCCATAGACAGCTCTCTGGTCTTCATGTTTCTTTATCCTCTTTAACAGGAAATGCAGTCTTTATAGGTTTGAACCAAGGATGAAAACTTAGACTAGTCATGTTTGGACAATCAATCTAAAAGGCAACACCTGGGCAACAAGAAACATCTGTCAGTCACATGTTCCAATAGTTTTGCTCACTTGTAAAATGGGGGGGTTCAAACAAAGGGTGGTTTGTCCTGAGTTGTTGTTAACACATCTAGATGTGAATACCAGGAAATAAAAGCTGAAATTCTGAACTCTTGTCTCATCTTCTGATCTTAAACCCAAATGTCAAAAACAAAGGAATTTGTTCCAATACTGTTGGACTGTATATCTGTGGATCAGGTGTGTCTTGAAATGAACATGGGGGTTGTTGATGGCTGAAATAGGATGAATCGTCTCCCATTAACAAAGATGCTGTGGGCGTGTACACGAGGTACAGCAGCATAACGTCGACACTCCGACAGGATCAGCAGCGGCCTCTCTGATCAGGAAAGGAAATCGTTCGTCGATCATGTTTTTTAGTGGAGCATCTTATTTAGAGGAAACAACTTTTTTCTGGTGCTGAAATGTTTCAGTGTTGTTGAATTATTAAAAGAACAAAACAGGTTAAAATGTGTTGGAATGCACATTACTGAGATTTTAACGGGTATAATATTACCAAAATGTTTATTAGTGCTGTGTTAAATCTTTTGCTGTGTGTGAGTCTTTTTTTC